AAAACGAATTTTAAAATAAATTACATATTTACAATGCCACTTTTTTCGCTCTATACGATGGCGTCAACATTTTTGCAATCCGACGTTTCGTCTTCGAGGGGACATCATCGGATTAATTTTTTTAAATACGTCGCTGATAATTTTATGACAAAATTTAAAGTCATTTTTAATTCTAAATTAGAGGTTATTACTATTGTAATCGCTTAAAAAGTTTTTAGCTTGTTTTGTGTATAATTTAAAATATTTCCTGAGTACGACTCTGAACGCTTTCAAAATATCTATTGGATTAAGTCATAACAGTATAAAAGTTAATACCGCACAAAATATACAACAATTTTTTACTACTGTTAGCAATACTAATTAGAAATAATAAAATATTTCATAAATTCATATTATTTTTTTATTAGATACTTTTTAAATTATGGATTAATTTATTTATTTATTTATAAAGGCTAGTGTTACATACACATAAAAGTGTTTACACGCGTCAAAAAAAAAGTGGTAAATAACAATACACATAATGATAGCAATAAACTAACTGTTATACAAATATACATAAACAACATATAATTAAAATAAATTGTTGGATATTTTGTGCTGTATTGACTTTAATTCTCTCCTCTCTCTCTCTCTCTCTCTCTCTCTCTCCTCCAATAGATACAGGTATTTTGAAAGAGTTCAGAGCCATACTCGGGAAAAATTTTTAATGATAGGTAAAAACCTTTTTAAGCGATTTAAGCTCAAGGCGGCGCACCTCTAGCTGGAACCACGGCGACTGTCACGGGATGGGGAGCTCTTTCAGGGGACGGACCGCTCGCCAGCATCCTCCAAGTGATCAACGTTCCGATCATCAGCCAGGCTAATTGTCGTATAGCTTACGGACAGAACACCATAACCGACAGGATGTTCTGCGCGGGTGTTTTGGGTGTGGGGGGAAGAGACGCTTGCTCCAACGATTCTGGTGGTCCTTTGATCGCTAGTGGGATGCTCACTGGTATCGTCTCGTGGGGTTATGGTTGCGCCCTTCCGAATTATCCTGGAGTGTATGCTAGCGTTCCCAATCTTAGGACTTGGATTAGAAATGTCACTGGCCTCTGAGTTGTTCACGTTTTCATCAAATATGTACAAAGAATCCGATAAATATTAAAATTTTAGAGGTTATGTCAATGGAAACAGTTGTAATTGAAGTACATATCATAGAACAGTGTTAAGATACGTAAGAGTTAGTTAAACATTGAAATAGTGGTTCATACTAGACACAACACACATGGTAATAGTGATTTTCACCAATAATTGTAAAATTCTTTGTCCAAGCTAAATATGAATACATGCAAATGGAGTTTGTTTAATGATTTTATTGTCAATAAGCAACTTTCATTGTCATTGTATTGCTCTCAGTAATCGGGAAATTCTTGTTTCTTTGTCTGTTCATTCAGTAATCATTTATATCCTCAATTAATCCCTAGATAATCAATTCAGCTTCTATATTACTTATCTTTTAACTTCAAATACGCCGCCCTTTTGATCTTCAAATCCGTTCACGAAATTAATAAGGTTTTAATCACCTGTTAATAATATAAAATTAAAAATACTTTCAAGAATTATTTATTTTGATGGTTGATCTGTTATATCAAACTGCAATCTGCAAATATCTGTTTGCATTATTTTTAATGATTCTGATGACTTACCGATGCACCAAAAATATGTTTTTGTCTGATTTTAGCCGTAAATATGTTGATATGTTGATGATTAGATAACGTGAAAGACGATGACAAAATTCAAGACAAAACAGATGATATACTGGACTCAAACAAAACAGGTATTATAGGTGTACAGGGTGTTCTACAAACTCTATGACAAACCTTGACAGATAGTACTTTTGCTGAAATCGTCTCGATCTAACTGCATGCGGATTTTGTAACGCCCAGATATGTTCATTATGATTATTATTTATGCCGTCTCTAGTAAAACACGTTTCATCAGACCACACGATCAGCGAAATGAATCTATCATTTTGTACATGTTGTTCAAGTAGCCAGCGACGAAATTCTAATCGCTGAGGAGCATCTCCATCATCTAACGCTTGTACACTGTAAAAAAATTGATTTAAATGAAAGCAATAAAGATTCGGAGTAAATCCATTGAGTTAAATTATTGAGTGCATTTTCACTCAATATTGGGCATTTTCATCAATTTACTCATTTGTGATTATATTTAAACTAAAACTGAGTACTTTCACTCAAATGTAGGTACTCCCTAAATAAATTCTTCACGTAAATTCGTATTTGGTGCAAATTTCAGTCTTAACTTACAACATAATTGAACTGATGAGTTAGTTATTCGAACACCAATCACCAACGTGGCACAGAATCAACTTAAAATGAAATAATAAAAGTTAAATGAAATGATCAAAAGAAATTTTTGTGTCAGCCACTACCGTCAACTGTATCTACACAAAAACGTACGCTTTTGTTGATCTGCCTTTTGATGAACTAAAGGAAATGTAATTTCTTATTAATTTAAATTGTTTACAACATCAAATACTATTTACTTATTAAATAACGTGTATAGCTTTCCCTGGTATTTCTATTACGTTTGTTTTTCTTTATTCTGAAAGTTTTGTTAACTTCTAACCTGTCTTATATCCTGGAGAAAACTTGTGTAACTGCCCCAGTGAAGAGATATTGTTTCTAACTTGTTTAGATTTCTTAAAACTCTCGTCAAAAGACTGCTATAAATTCACTAAAAATCACGCATAAAAACGTCAAAACTGTGTATTTGAGTTGTATGAAACAGGAGATAGAAAAAAATGTATCTCAGTTTTCCTTGAACATGATTTTCAAGATCTTACTCCATGCTCTTTTGATAATTTCTGAAGACGTCTAAAGTGTCTAAAAATATGTGTTTAACTGATTCTAATTTAAAATTTAAGAACTAGATGAGATAGATAACAAGATTATGTCAATAATGGGCCGATAAAATCAACTTACGTTCTTGAAATTGCGTATATAAATGCTTACCATCCGCACGTCTTTGACAGTGTTGTACGTTCTGCCAATATGTTCAAATTCATCTTAGTGACTGTTTTTCTGACGACTTCGGTTTTGGGTGAGTACTTATTACTATTTTTAATATATTTAAAAAACATCTACGCCTTGTCATCAGTATCCACAATTTTTAAGTAAGCGGTATTCTTCAAGTGAGTAATATTTTCCCCAATAGGTGCCCCCCCGGCCGCTGTTAGAAATGACGAAGACTTAGATGGAAGGATCGTTGGTGGAACTGCGACCACCATCCAGGCCCACCCATACATCGTCTCCCTGCAAGCACCGAACCACATCTGCGGAGGTGCCATTCTTTCTTCGACCTGGATCCTTACCGCCGCCCATTGCCTTGGTAGGCCGGTTAACGTGTATTCCATCCGTGCTGGATCGACCGTTCGCAATTCCGGGGGACAGGTGATTGACGCCCGCAGGCTCATCATCCATGCAAGTTACAACTCTCGCACGATTGATTTCGACATCGCCCTTGTCCAACTCGCCAGCCCCATCACCATCGCCGTAGCACGTGCTATCACCATGGCAGCCCAAGGTGGCGCCCCAGCAGCCGGACTGACTGCCACAATCACCGGATGGGGAGCCCTCTCGGAAAACGGACCATCAGCAACTACCCTTCAGGTCGTCCAGGTCCCCATCATCAGCCAGGCCAATTGTCGGGCTGCTTATGGGCAGAGCGCCATAACCGACAGGATGTTCTGTGCTGGACTTTTGGGAGTCGGCGGGAGGGATGCTTGTCAAGGCGACTCTGGCGGCCCTCTGATTGCCAATGGAGTTCTTACTGGTATTGTGTCGTGGGGGGCCGGATGCGCACGTCCAAACAGCCCCGGGGTCTACGCCAGTGTTCCCAATTTGAGAGCTTGGATTAGGACCAACAGTGGTATATAACATTCTGGAAGCAAATATCTTTGTTGTTACATAATATACGTGTGTGTATAAAATTGCAGGATCTTATAATTTCCCTTATTTTTCTTATTGCTAGCTTTAGGTATAACCTACCATTCTTCCATTCTGTCATTTTCTAAACAAATTCTTACAATAGTTGCAAAAATTACAGATATAAATGATAGGAATAGAGTAGAAAANAAACAATAAAAATATATATAACGAACGTTCGCCAGTTGACTTTATTGATGCCCGAGCGCCTTAGTTCATTTCTAGTTGTAATGAGGCCCGTGATCTAATTCTGAGTCAATGTTTTCACAACGTGCTTATTAGAAGAATTATGGGGATACGCCACGCCTTTCGCGCATTTCGCGGCTCATGAGATATTAAAAGGTCTCTACGTACCTGTTATTTGCGCTCTACGTTGTATTTGTTTCATGTTTCATAACCTAAAAAAACTCTTTTAGTTGTATGTGTTTTTGTCTATTGAGTATTTATAATAATTCTGCATTATTATTATTAAATAATATGTCGGTGAAGTAGGTACATTCTCAAAGTTCGCCCCTAAAAACAATTTTTTGTCATACGAATAATTTGTTCTATTAGCCTCAAACGGATTTAAACGGTTGCAAACTACCCCTCATGTTCACCCCCAAAAACAGTATTTCTGTGACATCTCGGGTTCTAATCAATATTTTGGAATGAAACGAAATGGAAATTACTTCTTATAAAAAAACAGATATTTCACAAATAATTTTTTCTATTGGTCTAAAACGGATTTAAACTGATGCAAACTACCCCTGCTGTTCATCCCCCAAAAAACGGGTTCGGTAATTTCCATTTTGTTTCATTCCAAAATATTTATTAGAACCCGAGATATCACGGATATACTGGTTTTGGGGGTGAACATAAGGGGTAGTTTGCATCTGTTTAAATCCGTTTTAGACCAAGAGAAAAAATTATTCGTATGATTAGAGAAAAAGTTAAGACATTTACTAGGTGATTACTAGGGGGTTGTTCGCCCCCTAAAATGAGAAATTATTTTTGTCAATTTGTTTACATAAATCATATTTTGAATCAATATGAATTTTTTATATATAAAAAATGTTTGAAAATATACTTCGTTTTCCTGAAATAAAAAATAAGGGTTGCAACCCCCAAACATGAAATCACTTTTTATTTTTTAAAAGAAGTAATTTCCATTTTATTTCATTTCAAAATATTGAGATGTCAGAAATATTTTGGGGGTGAACATGAGGGGTAGTTTGTTTGCATCCGTTTAAATCTGTTTGCGGCTAATAGAACAAATTATTCGTATGATTAGAGAAAAAGTAAAAACTTTTTATTTTACAATGTTAATTCTAATCGTACAGACATTTTTAGCACACTAGAGGGTTGTTCACCCCCTAAAAANATATGTTGATGATTAGATAACGTGAAAGACGATGACAAAATTCAAGACAAAACAGATGATATACTGGACTCAAACAAAACAGGTATTATAGGTGTACAGGGTGTTCTACAAACTCTATGACAAACCTTGACAGATAGTACTTTTGCTGAAATCGTCTCGATCTAACTGCATGCGGATTTTGTAACGCCCAGATATGTTCATTATGATTATTATTTATGCCGTCTCTAGTAAAACACGTTTCATCAGACCACACGATCAGCGAAATGAATCTATCATTTTGTACATGTTGTTGAAGTAGCCAGCGACGAAATTCTAATCGCTGAGGAGCATCTCCATCATCTAACGCTTGTACACTGTAAAAAAATTGATTTAAATGAAAGCAATAAAGATTCGGAGTAAATCCATTGAGTTAAATTATTGAGTGCATTTTCACTCAATATTGGGCATTTTCATCAATTTACTCATTTGTGATTATATTTAAACTAAAACTGAGTACTTTCACTCAAATGTAGGTACTCCCTAAATAAATTCTTCACGTAAATTCGTATTTGGTGCAAATTTCAGTCTTAACTTACAACATAATTGAACTGATGAGTTAGTTATTCGAACACCAATCACCAACGTGGCACAGAATCAACTTAAAATGAAATAATAAAAGTTAAATGAAATGATCAAAAGAAATTTTTGTGTCAGCCACTACCGTCAACTGTATCTACACAAAAACGTACGCTTTTGTTGATCTGCCTTTTGATGAACTAAAGGAAATGTAATTTCTTATTAATTTAAATTGTTTACAACATCAAATACTATTTACTTATTAAATAACGTGTATAGCTTTCCCTGGTATTTCTATTACGTTTGTTTTTCTTTATTCTGAAAGTTTTGTTAACTTCTAACCTGTCTTATATCCTGGAGAAAACTTGTGTAACTGCCCCAGTGAAGAGATATTGTTTCTAACTTGTTTAGATTTCTTAAAACTCTCGTCAAAAGACTGCTATAAATTCACTAAAAATCACGCATAAAAACGTCAAAACTGTGTATTTGAGTTGTATGAAACAGGAGATAGAAAAAAATGTATCTCAGTTTTCCTTGAACATGATTTTCAAGATCTTACTCCATGCTCTTTTGATAATTTCTGAAGACGTCTAAAGTGTCTAAAAATATGTGTTTAACTGATTCTAATTTAAAATTTAAGAACTAGATGAGATAGATAACAAGATTATGTCAATAATGGGCCGATAAAATCAACTTACGTTCTTGAAATTGCGTATATAAATGCTTACCATCCGCACGTCTTTGACAGTGTTGTACGTTCTGCCAATATGTTCAAATTCATCTTAGTGGCTGCTTTTCTGACGACTTCGGTTTTGGGTGAGTACTTATTATTATTTTTTTAATATATTTAAAAAACATCTACGCCTTGTCATCAGTATCCACAATTTTTAAGTAAGCGGTATTCTTCAAGTGAGTAATATTTTCCCCAATAGGTGCCCCCCCGGCCGCTGTTAGAAATGACGAAGACTTAGATGGAAGGATCGTTGGTGGAACTGCGACCACCATCCAGGCCCACCCATACATCGTCTCCCTGCAAGCACCGAACCACATCTGCGGAGGTGCCATTCTTTCTTCGACCTGGATCCTTACCGCCGCCCATTGCCTTGGTAGGCCGGTTAACGTGTATTCCATCCGTGCTGGATCGACCGTTCGCAATTCCGGGGGACAGGTGATTGACGCCCGCAGGCTCATCATCCATGCAAGTTACAACTCTCGCACGATTGATTTCGACATCGCCCTTGTCCAACTCGCCAGCCCCATCACCATCGCCGTAGCACGTGCTATCACCATGGCAGCCCAAGGTGGCGCCCCAGCAGCCGGACTGACTGCCACAATCACCGGATGGGGAGCCCTCTCGGAAAACGGACCATCAGCAACTACCCTTCAGGTCGTCCAGGTCCCCATCATCAGCCAGGCCAATTGTCGGGCTGCTTATGGGCAGAGCGCCATAACCGACAGGATGTTCTGTGCTGGACTTTTGGGAGTCGGCGGGAGGGATGCTTGTCAAGGCGACTCTGGCGGTCCTCTGCTTGCCAATGGAGTTCTTACTGGTATCGTCTCGTGGGGGGCCGGATGCGCACGTCCAAACAGCCCCGGGGTCTACGCCAGTGTTCCCAATCTGAGAGCTTGGATTAGGACCAACAGTGGTATATA